ATGCTTCCCTGTTCCCTTTTGGTTTCTGGTCTCAGTTGTCAATCACAAATTGAAAACAAAAGCTGAAAGTTCTAGGGTTTTCAGAACCTAGTGTACGACAGATTTAAAAAGTGTTGTGAAAGTTTTTAGAAACGGAGCGATTTCCTTGTTGTAATGACGTAACAGTAGAAGAAACAAAAAAAGGAACAGAAAGCAAAATTCATTTTACCCTGGGCGTTACTGAAATATTTAGAGGCACAGCGCCGCCTACTGGAAAATATGAACAAAGACAGAGGAGTACGAGTCTGAAGAATTGATTTTTTTTTCTGTTTTTTCTTTTCTTTTTTTTAGTACTAACCGTAAGAATTGATAAAGTAGCTTTGTATTTAAGAGTGGGAAAATTCATCTCGGGATGACCTCTGTCGGCAACAGGCAGCTATGTGAAAAGAGAGAGGATCAAAATGTGTTTCATAACTTCTCCCAGCTCATTCAGCTTGCTTGGATAATCACTTGTTTACTTTGGTGTGCTGACAGGAGTGGATGGGAGGGCCTGACCATCTGGTTGCAGAACTGCAGGGGCAGTCAAAAATGTGTTGGTTGGTCTATTCACTATTTAGAGGAATTTACCAAACTACTGGTGCTTGATTACTAGAATTGCATCACATTGTTTGACTTTGTGTTCAGGAGAGAATTCTCTACTCATTCACACTGAATCATGACTTTGCATCCCTTCCTCTCTGAGCCACAGAAAGAGAACACAGATAGACATAACTAAAGGAATTTCAGTGAAAATAATCATTACCTAAAAACATCTGTGAGCCATCTACTGGAACAAACAATCAAAACATTGTGATTGAGGAACTTAATTAAACAGTGAGCATGAAGTCAGGTAAAAAGACTGGCCTCAGTTCCCACGGGATCTCTTAGAACTTTGCCTTAGGTTAAAGATCCAAAGTTCAGACCAATGCCCTCCAAACTGCAGAGGGAGGTGGTGTTTAGGAGACTGACATTTATGTTAAATGATTTTTGTCTTTTTTTCCCTTCTGCTCTATCAAGAGGGGACGAGTTTTAGGAACAAGGAATACACATTTTTGGACTTACCTTGCTCTCTTATTGTAACTGCCTAACACTTCATTCATTGGTTGCTGTTTCCTTTTAATGTAACTCTTAGTTTTTTATATTACCATGTTGGGCTATAAGAGCTGTGTGATTTAGCTAAGTATTGTCATTTTCCTCTGAAAATCTCTATGGCCACATTTTGTTCTGCATCTCAGAATAATGAACTTCTTTAAAAGGCAGAAATGTTGCAAAATCAAGCATGGGGTCCTAGGTTCCGGGATGCCAGTGGGGCAAATGAGCCCGTGTTGCAGCAAAGCCAGACACTGTCCCCCAGAGGCTCCGGTGGAACACTAAGGAGAGGATTTTAGGAAGGTGGTTTGCTTATGGGTAAGCTGCATGAGCTGGCTCAGGCCCCAGCTGTGCAGCTGAGTTTTACCAGGGTTTTACTAGGGTCAATAGTGAAATTGTAAAGGAGGCCACACCTTGCCTCTTACTGTCTGCCAAGCTGTACTTGCCATACCATAGGAGCCAGAGATGTCCCACTGGATGTCTTGCTCACACAAATACACCGGGAATTAAATTGTTAACCGAGCATATACTAATATAAGATAAAAGATAGATAAATCTTGGGTTACTTTAGTTGCTTGTACCTGTGTCTGAGTGAACAAAGACAGGATGAGCTGGATGCTGGGGGCTCTCTACAGACTAAAAGCCAGAGCCTGCAGGCTACCTGCCTGTTAAACCAACTCTGTGTCGGTTTCTTTCTCATGCTCTTTCACCCCTGGGTCAGGGTGAAAAACTAACAAGATTAGTTCCCTACAAGTGGCACTTAGTGAGAAAAGACAGATTAGGCTTGTCCTCCACAACTTGCACCTGGAGACAGGAACCTGACACCAGCAGAGCATAGGCTGGTTCACTACAAGTGGCTTCAAACAGGGACACTGGGGGCTAAGGGAAGAACGTGGGACTTGGGAGAATCCAAACAGGGAACTGAAAAAGCCTGGACCCAAGGAAAAAATGGCTGACTGTAGGAAATTCCCTCCGGCAGAAAGCTCCGCAGAAAAGAAAAGAAAAAATGTGAGCACATAGAGAGAACTTCCAAAAAAAAAAGGAAGTGAGAAAAAAAAGCAGCCTGAATAAAAAAGGTCAAAAGGGGAGGGGGGGGGTGAGTGCAAAAAACTTTCTCAAACAAAAGGGAGAAGGGAAAAAAATGAGGTCACGTACAAAACAAAACAAAATTTTCTCAGCCAAAGTAATAGAACAAAGTTAAAAACTAAAGCAAAAGTAAGTTCTTCAAAGTTAAAAAGAAAGTGAATGTGTCAAGGGCTAGAGAAATGGGGCAGAATTTGTCAAATAATGGCTTAGATTTTTAAAAAGTAAAAAAAATAAGATAGCAAGAGAAAGAGAGAGAGAGAGAGAGAGAGAGAGAGAGAGAGAGAGAGAACGAATCACTGCTAGTTCAGAAAAGATCCTGGCGAGTAAGAGATCTGACAGTACCTCCCATAAAGAGGTGGTTTTTCCTTCTGATGTGTATGAGCCAGCAGTGTATAAATATTGCTATATTGTGCCAATTAAGAAACACTGCCTCAATGTTTTTAAAATTTGGGTCAATGGGCCAATAGCAAGATATTGTTAAAATTTTACCTTACTGAGTAAACAGCCCCTGGCCAGTAGCCCGTCTATATTGTGTTAATATTTTGTCAACTGAAGCAACAAGAGTGTGATAGTAGATTTAAGACTGCATATTAGCAGGCAAACAGTCCAGTATTGTTGACATTCTGTGTCTTGGATCAACTGCCTAATATTATTACAATGTGCATCAATGGCAAACAGCTGAATATTGTTAAAATTATGTGTCCATGGGACAAAGACTCCTATGTATGGACCAGCAGTCCACATACATTATGTGAATATTGAGTCAAATATTGCTGGCCAGTATCCTACGTTTATGAGGCTAATATTGTGTCAATTAAATTGGATGAGTTAGTATTTTTAAAATTATGAATCAGTAGGCCAACAACCTGTTATGGTTTGTGTCTGGATGTCCCCCAAAAGCCTCATGCAATCATGGGGCTTTTGAAGGTGGGGGTATGGGTCTTTTGAAGGTGGCTGAATCTGGTGTTTGTGATTGGTTCACTGTCTAGTGCTGGGATTGGCCATGTGAGTGCTGCACCCACTGTGGAGCAGATACAATATACAATATTTGCCTTTCATGCTCTTGTCTTCTGCCCCCATGAAGTATTGCCCCTGTGCCATATCCCTCTGCTGAGTATGGACTGCTGAGTATGGACTCTGCTGAGTAAGCAAAAACCATAAGCTAAATAAATCTTTCCTTTCTTCATTTTGGGCATCCAGTATTTTGTCTCAGCAATGAGAGAAAAGTAACCAAGATGTAACCCAACATTTTTAAAGTTATGTCTAAACAGACCAACAAGCCCAATGCTGGCAAAAATGACAAAAGCCAATGTATATAAGCCAGTAGTCATGATAAATATTGTATCAATATTGTGTAAAGTGTCCAGGCTAGCAACCCATATGTCATAGATTAATATTGTCCCAAAAGTGGGAAAATCAATGAGGCAGCATTTTTTAATTCTTTTTTTTAATCGGTACCTGGGCTCAAACTCATGACCACATGCTTGCAAGGCAGGTGTTTATGCTGCTGAGCTAAATCCCCAGCCCCTAGGCAGCATTTTTAAAGTTGTGTGTAAGAGGTCCAAGATTACAATACTGTCAAAATTATGAGTCAGAGAGTGAACATACCAATACTTTAAAAAAGTGGCCAACAGCCCAATATTTTTGAAATACTGTGTCAGTGGGCCAAGAGCTACTGTTTATGTACCAGCAGCCATGAGGCATAGTGGGTCAATGTTATCTAAGGGGTCAAAGCCACAAGTTCATGTATATTGGGATAATATTGTGTCAAGTAAAGAATAGTGAGTGTGAAAGTATTTTTAAATTTGTCAGAGGACTGACATTGCATGAATGGGGATCTTGTGTGTCAGTGGGTAAACATACCAATATGTTCAGAAATACTGTCAGCAGGTGTACAGCTATTGATAAATATCGTGTGTCACTAGTACAACAGCCACTGCATGAGTCAGCAGCCCTGACAGATATTGTTAATACTGTGTAAGATGTCAAGGCCAGCAACTCACACACATTGAGGTAATAGCATGTCAAGTAAAGGAAGTGAATGTGGCAGTGTTTTAAAAAGGTGTGTCAGAGGCCCAACATTTCACCTATGTTACAATTCTGTGTTAGTGGTTGAATATTCTAATGTTTTTAAAAAAATTCGTGTCATAGGACAACAGGGCAATAGTGTTAAGATCCTATGTCAGTGACCCAACAGCCACTATATATGGGCCAGCATCCATGTTATATATTGTGTGAATATTGTATCAGGTGTCAAGGACAGCAACTCGTATCTATTGGGGTAATAGTGTGTCAGTCAAGTACAATGAGTCTAGCAGTATTTTTAAAATTGTATCAGAGTCCCAAAATGCTAAAAATGTTGAAAATGTGTGTCAGTTGGTCAGCATATCGATAGATTTTAAAATATATGTCAGCATTCCCAGAACCCAGTAGTGTTAAAATTGTGTGTTAGAGGGCCAAGAGTCACTTTATGTAGGCCAGCAACCCTGATACTTAGTGTTAGTATTGTGCCAGATTGTAGGGAGCCGAGTGACAGGCATTGCTGCTTCCATGCCTCTTTCTCCTATGGGCACTGCGTCTGCCTACATTAACCATAATCCTCTCCTGCTTACGTCACATATCTGGATGTGACGGTGACCCTGTTGTATTCATCTGTTTAACCTCTTCCTGTCCCAGCTCCCACCCTTAGCCTATAAAAGGTGTGATCATTTTCTAATAAACTGGAGGCTTGATTGGATTATCTCGACTTGCCTTCATCTCTTTTTGTCTCCCTTATGTCTTTTATTTAATCCCCGTTCCCCCTCCAGGAGTTTTGGATAGGTTGATCTGCAGGCCAGATCAAGTGGTGCCCAACATGGGGCCTCCTGGCATGGAGGAGTTAACGAAGGAGCCGTTCGAGAGACAACCGGCTTAAACTGAAAGTGAATGCAAATTGAACCAGAGACCTCGGCCGAGGAGTGAGCAAACTGAATCAAGGATTAAAGCTTAAAGCAACAGGACATTAAATTAAGTACCGAGACCTGTGCAGACGACTACCCAATGTCCTGCCCTAGTCACGGTGAGTGAACGGCAATCCCATTTCCCTTCCTGGACATGGGTCAAGTATTGAGCAAACACAAATTGTTCGTGGGAGGTCTTATAAAGGCATTAAAGACAAGAGGGATAAGGGTTGGAACAAAAGAATTATTGTAGTATTTTCCATTTATCCATAAGGTTTGCCTTAGAGGGTTCTATAGATACCAAGAGGTGGAATAGAGTAAGACATGCTTTAAAAGATCATTATAGAGTTTTTGGTCCAGAAAAGGTTCCTGTGACAACCTTTACATATTGGAATTTAATCTCTGAGCTGCTTGCCCAGAGGCATGCAGACCCTCAGGTTGAGGAGACAGTTGCACTAGGTGAGGCTGCCCTGCGCGACTCCGTTAAATCTACCTCAAAACCATCCTCAGAAAAATCTGAAGCCTCTGATTTCTCAGATGCAGAGGATGATGGCCTGTTAGAGGTCCTCGTACATGGTGATCTGCCACCACTTCCACCTGTTGACATGATCAGCAGGTCCCAGGATGGCAGCCCACCACTTCCTGTGCCTCCATGGCCAATTGGGGATTCATATAAGCCTTTAGACCCCGGCCTTTCTCAGGAGGTCTCTGATTCTCAGGAGGTCAACTGGGAACAACCAACACAACAAGCCTCTACATATTACCCTAACCCTGTTGCAGCACCAGCCGCTATTAGGCCATCCCCTGACTATGATGATGCACTCAGCATCTGCTCTCAACCTTCTAGCACATTAGTGGAATTAGAGCAAAGAAAAATGGATCTTTTAAAACAGATACAGCTAGAAAAAGAATGCCAAAATCTTTCAATTCAATTGCAGGCCCTCTGAGCTACACAGTTTTATAGTGTCCCTGAGATGGAGCCTGCCTCCAGCACGCCTTGTAGTGTGCTTAAAATGGTGCCTGCCTCTGGCAGCCAGCCTAAAATGGCTTTCCCAGTCACAGAGGCCTTTACTCCCCCACGGGATGTTGAAGAGGGCACTGAACCACAAGCTGTTAGGATGTACACACCTCTCACCATGGCAGCCTTAAAAGAGTTAAAGGTTGCAGTCTCTCAATATGGCCCGACTGCCGCCTACACCATTGCGGTTCTAGATTCTTTGACTCAGGGTTGGATTATTCCTAATGAGTGGAAAGACTTAGCAAAAGCCACCCTCTCTGGAGGCAATTATCTATTATGGAGATCTGAATTTTTTTATCAATGCGAGGACATAGCCAGAGATAACGCCGCACTGCCAAACCCCTGGACCCTTGCTATGCTTACAGGAACAGGAGATTTTGCCACAAAAGAAACCCAAATACAGTTTGATTCGGGCCTCTTTGCCCAGATTAATATGGCAGCCATTAGAGTGCGGAAATGGCTCCCCTCAGGAGGCGAGCCTACCTTATCTCTCACCCAAATAAAACAAAAGCCTGAGGAGCCCTTTTCGGACTTTGTCGATTGCCTCTTAGAGATGGCAGAACGTCTTTTCGGCTCCACAGAAACAAACTCTGCCCTGGTTAAACAATTGGCTTATGAAAATGCAACCTCAGATTGTCAGGCTGCAATTCGACCACATCACAAAAAAGAGGACCTATCGGGTTATATCCGCTTATGTACAGATATTGGGCCAGTTTATCAAGACCTAGCCATGGCTGCAACACAACAAGGTTGCATAGTTACACAACCCCTTTCTTGTTCTAAAAAAGATGCCGTTTGTTTCAAATGTGGCCAAAGTGGCCACACGGCTCGTGAGTGCAAAAGAAAAAATCAAAATCAGTCCTCTACAAAAAAAACCAGGCTATGTCCTAGATGTAAGCGAGGAGACCACTGGGCTAATGAGTGCAAATCCAAAAGAGATGTTCACAGTAACCCTCTTCCCCTGCAGAGAAACGGGTTACGAGGCTGGCCCCAGGTCCCCAATTCCGGACAAACCCGTGGGGCTCCAAGGTTTGTCCCAGCAAAAAATCATCCATTTCAGACCTCTTCAGGGCAACCCCAGGGAGTGCGGGGTTGGACCTCTGTTCCACCTCCAACACAGTATTAACCCCTGACATGGGTGTTCAGATCATGCCCTCAGGAATCTATGGGCCCCCTTCCCCCAGGACTTTTGGACTTATTATTGGACTTAGTAGCACTACACTTAAAGGATTACAAGTTCTGCCTGGGATAGTAGATAGTGATTACACAGGAGAAATAAAACTCATGGTTTCTCCCCTTGTCGGTGTCATACCAGTTAGGACAGGGCAACACCTTGCTCAATTGCTGCTATTGCCGTTGGCTCAAACATCTAACAAATCTGTAACTCCCTATAGGGGGAACTCCTTTCCTGGAGCTTTGGATGTATATTGGACCCAACGTATCTCCAAACAAAAGCCCCTCATGACTCTATCTTTAGATGGAAAAAGTTTCTCAGGCCTCATTGATGCAGGCACAGATGTTTCCATTATCAAAAAGGAGGAGTGGCCTACTGCCTGGCCTTTAGAAACAACCTTAACACACCTCCAAGGGATTGGACACTCAAAAAATCCACAACGCAGTTCCAAACAACTGGTTTGGAAAGATCAAGAAGGTAACCTTATGCCATAGAGAGTCTGCCTCTTAATTTATGGGGTAGGGACTAACTCTCCCAAATGGGATTAATTATGGGAAGCCCTAATAATGTTGTCACATTGCAAATGCTTAATAAGGGCTACCTGCCAAAACAGGGCTTAGGAAAAAATAACATGGGCATTACTGATCCCATCATTCCCATCCCTAACAATGCTAAAGTTGGGTTAGGCCATTTTTCTTAGGGGCCATTGACACCCCTGCTATCCATGCTAAACAAATTACATGGCTATCAGAAGAGCCAGTATGGGTTGATCAGTGGCCTTACCTCTGAAAAGCTTGCAGCCACACAGCAGCTGGTGTAGGACCAGTTAGATGCAGGCCACATTGTCCCTAGTAATTCCCCTTGGAACACACCTATCTTTGTTATCCGGAAAAGGTCAGGGAAATGGAGGCTGCTACAAGACCTTACAGCGATAAATAAGACAATGGTCTTAATGGGGCCCCTACAGCCAGGCCTCCCCTCATCCAGTGCCATTCCCCTGGGATTTTTTTAAATTGTCATAGATCTTAAAGATTGCTTTTTCTCTATTCCTTTACATCCAAAGGACCAAAAGCGTTTTGCCTTCAGTCTTCCATCAATTAATTTCAAAGCCCCTATGCAGAGATTTCAATGGCGAGTTTTGCCGCAAGGTATGGCTAATTCCCCCACACTATGCCAGTCTTTTGTAGCCACTGCAATACAGCCAGTCAGAGATGATTGGCCACATATCTATATTATTCATTACATGGACGATATCCTCTTGGCAGGAGATGATCAAAACCAAACCCTAAGGTGCTACCAGGACTTACAGGTTGCCTTACAAGAGGCTGGACTTCAAATAGCCCCTGATAAAGTACAGCTTACTGATCCATATACATACTTGGGCTTTCAATTACGTGGCACTCAAATACTCTCTTCAAGGCCCCAACTGAGGCTTGATGGCCTCAGAACACTTCATGACTTCCAAAAACTATTGGGAGACATTAATTGGCTCATACCATTTTTAAAACTAACTAAACATGATTTACAGCCCCTTTATGCACTGCTTTGGGGAGACATAGATCCAACTTCCCCCCGAGAGCTTACACCTGATGCCAGGAGAGCGCTCAGTAAAGTAGAAGAGGCTATTGCTCAACAAACTGTTTCCTTTATGGACTACAATGAGCCTTTACAGTTTCTCATTTTTAATACAAAGCTTTGCCCCACAGCAGTGTTCTGGCAACAAGCTCCCCTCATGTGGGTACATTTATCAGTCTCCCCAAAAAGAACACTTTTGCCTTATTTCCAAGCTGTCTCAGACCTAATAATTCAGGGTAGAAAGCAAGGAAAATGTTACTTTGGCAAAGAACCAGACATTATCATTCAACCTGTTACAAAAGACCAAATAGATTGGCTACTTCAGAGTACGGAAGTGTGGCCTATTGCCTTAGCTTCCTTTTCAGGGACTATTGACAATCATTACCCTCCAAATAAGCTAGTTGACTTTGCTAATCGTCACCCATTTATATTCCCTAAGGTCACAGCTTCGCAACCCCTTCCAGGTGAATAACACTGATGGCTCATCCTCCGGAAGGGCTGCTTATGTATCTCAAGACAATGTTTCTATCCTCCAGGCAGACACTTCCTCTGCACAATTAGCAGAGTTAGAAGCTATTCTTCCAGCCTTTGCTGCTTACTCTGACCAACCATTTAATTTATATACTGACAGTGCTTACCTTGCTCAGTCTGTTCCATTATTAGAGACTGTTGCTACCATATGTCATGCTTCCCAGCTGCAAATCTGTTCAAACAATTACAATGCTTCATACAGCTTCGCCGTCGTAAGTTCTTTATCGGTCATCTGCGAGCTCATTCCAACCTCTCTGGGCCTCTTGCCCAAGGAAATCATTTGGCTGATGTTGCTGTACAAGCACAGGTTTTTATGGCTCAGGACTCCAAGGTGTCTAAGGCCCAACAAGCCCATCAGCTACACCACCTCAATGCTCACACCCTCTGCCTCCTCTACAAAATTACCTGTGAGCAAGCCAAATTGTAAAAAATTGCCCATCTTGTGCTATCCATTTACCTGTTCAACACCTAGGAGTCAACCCTAGAGGTTTAATTCCTAACGCCTTATGGCAAATGGATGTTACCCATTTCAATGAGTTCGGCAATCTAAAATATGTACATGTCATTATTGACACATATAGTGGCTTCATTTTTGCCACCCTCCAGACTGGAGAAGCTGCTAAACACATTATAGCCCATATGCTGTCAGCCTTCTCAGTTCTGGGATGTCCTCAACAGCTTAAGACCGATAATGGCCCTGGCTATACCAGTACCTCCTTTGCTCAGTATTGTAAGAGCCTTAATATCCTCCACACCACAGGTATACCTTATAATCCTCAGGGACAAGGCATTGTTGAACGTGCGCATCGTTCCTTAAATTCACCATAGATAAAATAAAAAGGGAGACATGGTACCCCACCCGGGGGTCCCCTAGAAATGTCCTTTCACATGCTCTTTTTATTTTAAATTTTCTGACCCTGGATGCTTCAGGCTGCTCCGGTTTGGCATACTCAGACTCAAACACGGTTTGCATCTGTTTTATGGAGAGACCCACTAACCAATGTGTGGAATGGCCCTGACCCAGTCCTCATCTGGGGACGAGGTTCAGTGTGTGTTTACTCTCAACAAGATAGAGAAGCTAGATGGCTATTTGAATGCCTCGTAAAACAAGTAGACAGTTCTTTAAAGACCCCATGTAATGCCCAGGAATAATGTTATTTCCTGAGGCACAATCCCCTGTGCTCTCTTACAGGTAACACATCTCCCTGGAGCCTTATGCTGCCTAGTCAGCCTTCTCCTTGAGCCACACCACACCCATGGTGGATTTCAACCCCTGCCAAACAGACTACAACTGCTGACAGCCATGCACAGAACCCCATGACTGCGGAAGAGGCTCTTCTTGGTCTGGAGGAACATACACCAGCCAAATAGACTGCATCCAGCGTTATGCGAGGCATGCTCCAAGACATAGGAGAATGACTTCATACAGAGACACCAACAAATGGCTGTCAACCCCTTCTCCTCGATTTGGGGGGGGGGAGCTTTTCCCTTACCTAGTGCCCCTTTTGGGTCCCCTAACTGCCCTATTGCTTCTCATTTCTGTGAGTCCTTGTATTTTTCAGAGGATTATGATGTTCATTAATAACCAGATAGACTCATTTATGGCAAGCCCATTCAGGTACACTATCATCAGCTAGAGATGGCAGATCAACAAACCTACCGGGAAGGAATTCCCACGAGTGGCCCATATAATGATGCGGCCTAACTGCCCTGGGGCAATGGACAGGCAGTCAGAGACGGGCAACTAGGACATGCATGTTAATTCCAACGGCCACCTAAGACAGGCACAGGACCAACTGCTGTTCTGCAAGCCCATGACGGGTAAGGCCTGGTTGGGTTCATGCAATGAGGTCCTTGACCTAAGACAGACGCTATCCTCACAGGGCCTGCCATACTCTTAATTAAATAATATAAAAAGGGAGGAGATGTAGGGAGCCGAGTGACAGGCATTGCTGCTTTCATGCCTCTCTCTCCTATGGGCACTGCGTCTCCCTATATTAACCATAATCCTCTCCTGCTTACTTCACGTATCCAGATGTGACGGTGACCCTGTTGTATTCATCTGTTTAACCTCTTCCTGTCCCAGCTCCCGCCCTTAGCCTATAAAACGTGCGATCATTTTCTGAATAAACTGGAGGCTTTATTGGATTATCTCGACTTGCCTTCATCTCTTTTTGTCTCCCCCATGTCTTTTATTTAATCCCCGTTCCCCCTCCAGGAGTTTTGGATAGGTTGATCTGCAGGCCGGATCACCAGATGTCATGCCTGGTAACTCATGCATCTTGTGGTGATGTGATGTCAAGCAAATTAAGGTGTGTGCAGCAGCAGTTTTAGACTTGTGTGTCACAGACACGGCATTTCACTAAAGTTAAAATTATGAGTGAAAGGGTGAACATACCAATATTTTACAAAATATATATCAACAGGGAAACAGTCCAATATCATTGAAATCATATGTCAGTGGTAGAATAGTCACTTTCCATGGACCAGCAGCCCTGATGGATACTGTGTCACTGTTGTATAAGGTTTCAAAGGCAGCAACCCATATATATTGGCATAATATTGTGTCGAGTGAGAGTGGCAGTATTTTTAAAATAGTAAACTAGAGATCTAGCATTCCACTGATGTCAAGACTGTGCATCACCGAACATACCAATATTCTGAAAAATGTGTCAGCTAGCCAAAAGTCCCATATTGTGAAAATCATGTGTCAGTGGCACAGCAATCACTGAATATAAGTCAGCAGCCCTGATATATACTGAATACTGTGTAAGGTGTCAAGCCCAGTAACTCATGTACATTGGTGTAGTAGTTTATCAAGTAAAAGAAAATGAATGTGGCAGTGTTTTTAAAATTGTGTGCCAGAGGCACAGCCTTTCACTGATGTTAAAATTGTGTGTCAGTGCATGAACATACCAATATTCTAAAAAATATATGTCAAGGGACCAACAGCCTGGTGTTGTTGAAATCGTGTATCCATGTACCTGTCAATAGCCATGCTATATGGGCCAGCGCCCCGATGTGTATTTTGTCAATATTGTATAAGTGTCAAGGAAAGCATCCCATAATTATTGGACTAATTTTTTGTCAAGTAAAGAGAAAATGAGTCTGGCGGTACTTTTTAAATTGTGTCAGAGGCCAACAGTCCAATAATGTTAAAATTTTATGTCAGTTGGCCAACTACCAATAGTTTTAAAAATGTGTACCAACACTAGAACAGCCACCTCTTGTTAAAGTGTGTCTCACTGGACCAACATCCCTTTTATATGGGCCAGCAGACCACATACATTGTGTCAGTATTTTGTCAACTACTGTAGACTTGCAGACTCTGCATATTGTGTTATTACTGTGCCAAGTAACAAAAGTGAATGTTTGGAATACTGTACATCAGTTGGCCAACACCCCAATATTGCTTAATTTGTGTCAGTGGGCTCACAACCCCTATATATGGGGCTATATATGCCAGAAGCACATATTTTATGACAATACTGTTTCAAAGGATGGCTGCCAGCAGCCCATATTTGTTGTGGTATTATTAAAGGAAAGTGTGTTAATTAAAGGAAAGGGAGTGTGGCAGTATTTAAAAAGTTGTGTCAGTAGGCAACATCCTAATATGTTTAGTATTATGTGTATTGGGTCAACAGCCCAAAATTTGTCAGTTGGCCAACTACCAATAGTTTTAAAAATGTGTACCAACACTGGATCAAAATCATGTGTCGGTGGGTCAACAGAAGAAGACTATGAAAACTGTGTGTCTGTAGATCAATGGCCCCTGGCCAGCAGCCCATGTTTGCTATGTCAGTATTTTGTCAAAAGTCATGGGCCAGCAGCCAAAGAATACTGTGCTAATATTTTCTCAAATAAAGGATAGTGAGTGTGTTGGTATTTTTAAAAAAGTGCACCAGTGGGCCACTAGCCAAATATTTTTAAAATTTTAGGTCAATGGGCCTAAAGCCGAACATTGAAATAAGTGTGTGTCAGTGGCCCAACCACCAATATTTTTAAATTATGTGTCAAATGACCAATGTTCAAAAAATGTTAAAATTGTATGCCACTGGGGCAACAGTCCAATATGTTAAAAATTATATCTCAATGGGCAAATTGCTGAATACTCTTAAATTGTGTGTCAGTGGGCCAGGTATATGGGCAGCAGCCCAAATCTATTACATCAAAAATTGCAGGCAGGTATCCGTGTATGCTGTGTTAATTGTATCAATTGTAGGAAAGTGAGTGTGGCAGTAATTTTACAATTGTGTGCCAGAGGGCCAACACCCCAAATATGTGAAAATTGTGTCAGTGAGCCAACAGACCAGTATTTTAAACATTGTATGTCAACAGGGAAAAAGCTCAATATTGTCAAAAGTGTGTGTTAATGGGCAAGAGCCCCAGTATATGGCACAGCACAGCCCATATATATTTTGTTAATATTAGGTCAAATGTCTGGGACTGGCTACCAAGATATATTGTGTTAAAATTGTGTTAATTAAAGTATGGCATTACTTTTAAAATTGTTTTTATAGATTCAGCAGAGAACTAGCTGTGTGCTCTCCCCAGATCCCAAGAAATCCCTATATTAATATCCTGACTGTGTGCGTAAGTCCCCTTGTTATGTATACATTGCAAAGTACTGCACTGAAACACCCAGTAGAGCAAGGAACAGGATAACCACCCCCTGATCCTTCCAAGATGCAGTTCAGAGTTCTGCTTCTACCCTAATCTCCCCACTCGTCCACTCCCACTCCCCTCCCAGAGCCGGGGACCCTGCTTAGGTGCCTGCCCTGCTTCCTTTGGAGATGCAACAGGAGATCATAGTGCAGTGACAGCTGGAGAAAGCTGGGATTCAGGAGCCTAGGGAGGTGTGCACAGGGCCACACTTCGACCCCCTGACCTGCCAAGCCTTGCACCAGAGAGGTACTCTCGGGTACTAAAATACAGCCTGTGTGTGGAGCTTGCAATAAATAAAATCCTAACCAAACAAATATGCAAATGGGAAATAAGTATATGAAAATACACAATGATCATATGTTATTAGGGAGTTAGAATAATAAGATGCCAATATACAAGAATATATCAGAATGGCTGAAACCTGATACACTGATAATATCAAATGCTGATGAGGGTACCGAACAACAAGTATTGTCATTCATTGGTGTGAATATAAATATGGGGAATTAGAAGTGTTTCAGGCTGGATATCCTTCCTAAGAGGTTCCTCTCTGAGGTTCTTACTGATGAGAACTATTTCTAGGAGTCCTAGGAACTGAACTCTTATTATTGTAGACAGTGTCTCATGGAAAAGAAGTAAGTTTAATGTCAGATAGTATCCGACAGCATAACACTGCTTTTTATAGTTCGGTTTTTTTCTCCTGGTCTGTGTTGAAGTTGAAAACTAGAAAAAAATGTTATGGTAAGACAATTCAATTTCCTCCCTCCTAAAAATCTGTGTAATTTTTGGCATTAGATTTGAGGTCAATAGCCTTTCTATGATATTCTTTTTTGAGGTAGATAACAATATTTTCTAGGAACACTTTTGTGAAACAAAAGAGTGGAATTTTGTCACTGGTCTTATTTTAAAACTTCATACATCACACAACCAAAGGCAAATGGACCTTTAGAATCATGTATGCTCCTTGGGCTAGAACTCCATTCACTGTGGACATGCTCAGTGGTATCTGATTGGAGATTTTCAGAAACTTAGCATAGCTGCCTGTGTCAGCCTGACACAACACAGAGACTTGATCCAGAGATATCTAAGATAAGACAGTGACTGATAGATTAAAAAAATGACAACATGATCTACTTGAATGACCTACTCAGTGAATCAATGGACCCTATTCAGCAGCCTGAAACTTTATTCTGGATCCAATAATCACAATGGAATAGGTAATCTGTGAGCACTAGATCAACATCCACTTGGCACCTACTTTCCTGACCTATCCATTTTCTTTTCTTTTTTCTTTCTTTCTTTCTTTTTTTTTTGAGACAGGGTCTCTCTATGCAGTTCAGGCTGGCTTTGAGCTCACTTTGTAGCCCAGGCTGGTCTCGAACTCACAACAATCCTCCCACCTCAGCCTCCTGAGTGCTGGGATTACAGGCGTGAGCCACCGTGCCTGGCAACCTACCCATTTTATTACAGAGATGATATTCTAATCCCTCCTGAGGCTCCTATTTTAATGTCTTTTTGTTTCAATAATTTTCAAAAGAAGGGTTGAATAGAATAAAGTCAGTTTCTTTCATGGTTAAACTTACGTTTCCTTTACCAGATTACTGTCTGATTTCTTTCAAGTATTTGTAAACATGGATACCACTGAGTACATTTACACAAGAGTGGGAAAATTTCAATTTCTGTCAAAAATGAAAGAAGAAACCAATCCTTTAAGTCCTAACAAAAAGTAGAAGGACCTATTTACTCAAAGTTTGGTGCAAGCCTTTCTTGCAGCTCTAGCACAGCTGTGCTCCATAAGGCCAGTGAGCAAAAGATTTGTTAATGACATGGTGCTCAGAGCTTAAACTGAGCACAATTTATCACCTTACCCTGGAAGCCACAAGCCTTCAATAGACTCCAGAGCTCCAAAAACCATTAGAGCAGATAGAATGTAACATGCAATTGCTATGTAAGAAATGAAAGAGATTCTTTTTGCTTCCTATTTTTTCCTGTTTCCAGAATCCTCTACAAAGTTCTCCAGAACAGTCCATCATCTGAGAGAACAACAACTACTGAGAACAGCTATTCTGAGAATATGTGACATTCTGATCTATCTTTGTTGAAATTAAAATGGTAGACTATTCCTAAGGAGATCACTAGAGCAACCAACGATCATCCCAAGTGGAAGAGGGAAATCCTGTGTGACTGGTCATCAGCCAAGATATAAGTCAATACAAGCTTTTTGTATAATTTTATACTGATAAGAAGAATTGAGGTAAAAATAAACAAATTGTAGCCCATTGATTTGTTAAAATCTGTGTTTTCATTCATCAAAAAAGTGGGATTTATTATTTCTATAAAATATTTAAAAATCAACCATATTTACAACAGATACCAAGGTGGAATGTAAACTATGATTAATGAACATAACAGGAGTATGGCATAACCACTATGAAAGCAGATATTACTCAGTCCAGCTATCATCCACACATGAAGATGGATGCCTGTAATCCCAGCGCTTGAAATTCTGAGGCAGGAGTGCCAAAAGTTCCAGA